GAATGAAGTGTGGGCGGGACTTCTCATTCTTTCTTTAGTATCTTTGTGCTTTTAAAGGTGAGCGTGATTAAAGAACTTGATCCAATATATGCGTTTTTAATCTACTTGAATTCCTGAACATTGCTCTGCTTCGCTAGCAGTTTTCTCAACCAATGTAGAGTCATAAAAGTGTTTGCTTTTAGAAGTAACCAAGCAGGAACCTGATTCAAGCAGATACTTGATGTTGTAGCCCGTTTGATACTTTCTTTTCCACATGTTGAAAATAGAAGCCTAGGTTTTTTTTCATTAACCTGTTCCTAAGGTATTATGCAAGAGGAGATGCTGAAAATGCAATGCGATACATCAATGGAACCAGACTTGATGATAGGATCATAAGGACAGACTGGGATGCAGGATTTAAGGAGGGTAGACAGTATGGTCGTGGAAGATCAGGGGGCCAGGTAGGTTGTTGTACACTCTAGTTTTTAAGGGAATGGTCGCTTTGCCAAATTATTGCTTTTTGAGTGAACACACTTGAACAACTCCGGAAGTAGCGTTTTAAGAGTCATTGGTTATTGTTGAAGATAGCATTGTACCTTATTCTGTAAGACATCTTATCAATGATGATGTTATCTGCTAAGAATAAGTAACTTTTTCATATATTTCACTGAAAGTACTTTCAGAAACTTAGCTTTTTTTCAGAAAGTTAGCACAGGGCTAGCCATCCTCTCTTTGGCTGTCTTGACTATAGAGTCCCCCTGGACATTGTTAAAAAGGAGGTTAGTTTGTCCTGTGTTCCAGGCTTCTGCATGATGCCCTTTACCTTCTGTTTTGTCAGTCAGCTCCTTGTGTCCACTTACAAGTTGTGAACTCAGTTTGACTATGATGGCGTAATAGGTTTTGAGAAAATGTTTGTCTTCACTTGGCTTCCCTTTTTTCCTCCTTCATAAGGTCCGAGATGAATATCGACAAGACTATGATGCCGGAAGAGGTGGCTATGGCAAAACTGTTCAATGCCAGTGAATAGTGAGTGACTCATCAGCCTCCCAGGATAACTAAATCTACATTGTAAATGTCACCTGGCACAAAGTAGGTTTGTTGCACACAAATTAATGTAGCTAGAAATTGACAGAAGCTACTGTCTGTGTTCCTGTGATCACATAGTATGTTCAATCTCTCTTCCGTTTTAATACCAGGATCCAAAGCATTGCAGAGTACATTAATACAGAGAACCTGGGAGCAAGGTTTTAAGCAATAGTATGGGTGAGACTTTGGTCTCTAACTGGGTGAACAAAAGTTTAATGGTATGGTGCTTTTTTTCACTGGCAAAACTTGATTATACTATTGCTGGGTTTTGTTTACACTGGTATCACAGGGTGGAGAGCGGCAATAAAGAAGGCTTGATGTATATTTCAGAGATGAAAGGAAAAGGTAAAGACCCTGGAAAGGAAGTGGAATTTCCAGGGAAGTTTTCTGGAAGACATAATGTTGCAGGTTTTCTGGGGTTACCAGATTAGCACCGTTTTACGCTCATGCTGTTCCTGGGACATCTACGTGAACAACCACGATCAGCCAAGTCAGACTGATGAGCCCAGGAGCCGTAGAGACCCTTGCAGTCTTCTACAGAGTACAATGTGATTATGTGACATTGAATGATTGGAGCCATTTTGCCTGTGTGATACAAAGAACAGCAAGTATAAGAATTATAGTAGCAGTTGTTTTCACAGCTGATTTAGTAATATTTTGCTCCTGCCTGGTAGCTCTCTGCAGCCTTAATATTTGAGGAACAGTATCTTTCCTGTGCTGGCAAGGGTGGCATGAAGGCAGGTTGTACAGTTACCCCCCCAAAATGGGATATTTGAGGAACTGTGTGTATAATAAGAAATTTTTTCACAAAATACATTTTCTATTTGAGAAACCTGATTTCAGACAAAGATAAAAATAATTAAAGTTTGGGGATGAGCCTTACTTTCTACTGAGCATGTGGTAAGAATGGTAAAAGAATTGCAGGACTGTATAAGTATCTTTTTTCCCTCTGGATGTTACTAATACTGCTAGTTTATATGATGGGATTTTGATGTAATGCAGACATAGGAATAAAAATAGTGACCCCAAGATCTTTGAAATTGACCTGCTGGAATGAAATAGTTTAAAAGGAATTATTACAGGGCTTTGGAATTTTTTTTAATGGACCTCCGAAGTTTTGTCCAAATACCTTGTTGTCCATGACTCCTTAAAAACTTTTAAAATACTAGATAATTAAAAGTTGTTACTCATTGAAGATATTGTTGGAAATCTTGATGGACTTGTGCTGTTTTTCACAACTCTTACTGTAAACTGGAAATACAGTGAGTGAGAACAACTGCAATGAGATGCTGCTTTCTTAGGACGTGAGGTTTTGGGTGGGCTTTAGGGGTTTTGGCACATAGAGTAAAACTAGATTTTCAGGATCACTTGGTGCTGGTCTGCAAAAAAGACTTTGAACACAGTTACCTTTTTCTACATAGTACGTTTGGTTATGAGTTTACAGCCTGTAATCTGCTCTAGGAAACCTCTGAAGTTTATTTTTCATTGTATCAATTTTGTATAAAAAATTGTGTTACGGAAACTCTAAGTCACTTTCAAATAAAGCTACAACATTAAAATGGATTGTTATTTTTTTTAACTGAATCAGTGAGAGAAAGGATCTATATTCAGACTCTTGTCCACATCCTTTATTCTAGTGTCTTTTAAGATGTTGAGAGTGAATATTCCTTCCCTTTGACTGGGTGTTCAGTCTTGTTCAGTTCTTAAATGAATGCTGAAGGATGTTTGGTTAACGCTCTTCATTCTGATACTTTTTGGATTCCAGAACAGAAATTAAATTATTTACTGATATTGAAGTGGAAATTAAGGTTCTTGATGTGTGACAAGTAGTTTTTGAGGTATGCTTCCTCATAAAAATGAGGTTTAAATTTATTATAAATGCTGCAAGACAGTCTTTCTCAAATGAAATGGAGGTGATAATAAGATTTTTTTTCCATCAAAACCGCCACATACATCACTGTCTTTTTCTGCATACGTGCGATGTGTATGGAAAGATTCTGTTTTAAAGTGAGATTTTTCATTTTGAGAGAGGCTTCAATCATGTGAAGTCTTAGTATCTCAAAAGTGCATATAGAGGAAATTGCTTGAACACAGTTTGGTTTTTGTCTTCTCCAGTTGAAACTGGACATGGCTCTGCTGAAGCTAGTGACTAACAACAGTAAATGAATTAAGTCTTTAAAACTTCACTGTGGGGCTTTTTTAGCTTTCTTACATGCCAGCTCATTGTGATTAGGTTCTCTTGGAAGTATAGGTTCTCCCATGATTTTTTGACATGCCAGTTCATTATTATTATATGTGCTTTCGCAGAAGTTTAAGCTCTGTATTAGCTTTTCTAAATATGTAACTAATACATAATTATGTACTTTTATGGAATTGTATCTGTAAAGAAGTACAGCAGCTAAGAGTATGAGTGGAAGCTTAGATATGCCTTGATGGAAGAGAGACTGTTATGAATTAAGGCAACAAAAGCTTCAGTTTCTCCCTCATTGTTGTGCAGGCTCATGGTGGCTTCATTTATGTGCCTTTCTTTGGCACCAATAGCTGCAAATAAGATTTGTATTCACAGCATTTGAGTCTTTGTATTACGGTGTGAAATCGATAGAGTATAAACTGGAGCGTTAAAAGGCTTCATTTTCAGTGGCTGACAAAATAATCCCTGTTACCAGTGTACCCCTCCAGGCTCGTCTCAACGTGGTCTTTGTGTGAGGAAGGTTACTTACTAACCTGTGCAGCAGTAAAGTTCCTGCTCAGGTTGGTGCCAGTGCAGCCACCGTTTGTGTTAATGTCATTGTTTTTTGTACACAAACAATTCTAAAGGACAGAATTATTTAAGTATTTAAGCTAATATCCAATACCTCATCTTCCATATCTCTGTCAGATTAGGCTTCTTGTGGAGGTGGAAATTGATGAACTCCTCTGCTAAAATCGACCTGGTTTGTACAAAGGCTTCATCTGTGCAGTCAGAGCCAGCACTAGTCAAATGACAGCAGTCCACAGGGACTGCACATCTGATAAACTGTTGTCCAGTGGAGCTTCTAAAGCACGAGTTGTACCTTACGCTGCAGCATATAAATGAAGAAGAATTAGAGTGGGCATTTTTCTTTCCAGTCTCTGAGATTTCTGCTCCTACCTGACTATATTTGGTACTTTCAGGTAAGTGTAGGGCCTGATACAACTACAGGTGAAATACCAAAAATTGGTGAAGACTTCAGGGAGAAGTGTCCCAGGCTTCAAGACATCTATCATGTTGGGGAAGTAGTGGCCTAATTTATTAATTGTCTGTTTTCATAGGTCTCCTGCCTGTTCCTTTCTAAATAAGCTTTTGCACAAGGGATTGAATATACTCAGAGCTGCTCTGTAGTAATGCACACAATTCCCCTGCTCTTCCTTTTGCAATAGCTAGTTAGTGTAAATGTTTCTCATGGCCTGGGGGAGAAGGCATCCCTGCCCTTGTCCACCTAAGACCAGTTGTGACTGGCAGGTGTTATCTCCATTACTGCTTCATTGCTTTTTCTGTCCCATGTCGGCAGAGGAAGGTTATTCAAGGTTAGCTGTGTTTGTATCCCAAGGTTTCAGTCGTGATGCAGACTGAAAACCTGCCTTGCTCCTTTCTCAAAAACATGTGCTCCATCCAGACTGGATGAGAAGCCATAATAAAGGAAAGGGACCGTTTCTTTTTGAGGGTCATCTACTTAATTTATGATTTGTAAAATAAAAAGTAAAAGGATTCTCACATAAAGCTCCTCCGAGAGGAGGTTTTCAGACCTTAAACAGTTTGAACTATGGAAATCGAGAGCTCACTTCTTTCTTCTACCTCCCAACCATCAGCACTGTACAAGGAGACACCATTGAAGCTTCTTTAGGTGAAGCAAATTGGTCATGATCTTGTCTGTTCCAGAGCCTTGTGTGGTCCATAAGGGGTCTGTACACACAAGGTTAGGACTGTGTACTTCAGGCATCTGAAGGTCCCAGTATCGTGTCCCATTATAGACATAACTAGCCGTGATCTATTCGAGGAAACAGAATTTGAGAGAAAAATTGATCGCAAAAGTCTTTCATTATCACCTATATATATAATTTACTCTAAGCTTGGCCCAGAGAGGTTTTCTGCAGGTCCAACTTGCTTAATGCTTCACAGTTAAATTTTATTTTCTATAGCATATTGTGGATCAGGATTGAGCAGAGTCCTCTATGTTCCATTCTAATTTCTGGGCAAATTATCTGGGTCTGGACAATCCTGTAGTTGTGTGTTAAGAACGTATAACTTCACCCAATGTCTGCACCACAAGGTAGAAGGGATCTATTAGTTCCTTGTCAGTTGAAGACAGAGTTGCATGAAGAAGAAAGTTTGCTGACTTTCAGAAACTGCTTTCTGAAAGCAAGAGAAATCCATTCTTGTGTATGGGCTCCACAAGTTATGAAGATTATTTTCCTGCCACTCTGCTTCCCAACCTGCTTTTGAAGACAAAGATGGACTTTACTTCAGTGAGGTAGTATTCATTTAAGATTATTTTAGCTTCTACCTGAAGGTTATTTGAGTGTCTATTAGGGTTCTTTACAGAGGAGGGGAAAAAAAAAAAAAGATAAATAAGTAGCCAAATTCTTCTTTGCAACACTTGCTAATTAGTATGTTTAGATCTGACACAAACAACTTTTCTCTTTAGCAGAGCCGTGGAATTTGAGTTTCAAACACTTGAGGAGCAGCACAAGTAAAATGCCAGACGGCTCCCTCTAGTGACTGCAGAATTTGTGCATTTACGTGCTGACACGGCGAAGATGGTTGCTGAAAGCTGTTTTGCACAGCATGCTGCATGTCGTCCTGTCTCAAGATTTTGCTGTTGTAAAAATGGACAAGAAAGTAATTTTCATCTGTAGACCATTTTTCAGAGTGGAGGCAACTAGAACTCAGGATTTGTGGGTCTGTAGCCCATCACTGTTTCCCTGTTTAGCAAGAGCTTAGTTGTCTTTTGTACTAGATGTTGCGTTATCCTGTGTTTGTGGTGACTCTTCTTTCTCTGCCCCAAACAACCTCTTCAGGTTTTGCCAAAAGCACACCCATGATATTGAAGGACAGCTTGATTCTTACATGCCCAATCCATGCTTCAAAACCTC